CTGTTTGTTTTGAGCTTCAATAAGAAAAGACAAAAATGATTTTCATTTCACTTCCTGTTCAAATCCTAGATCATCCCTCAAGGCCAATTGCCACACTGTCTTTGGAGTGACCTTTAACAGGAGTCTCAGTGTGATCAGTTTGCTTTAGTCCCTGAGATGTCACTCTGCTTGTAATGGTAATGATAGCAACAATCCATAAATATGGAGTGTGCTGCTCCCCTGAGTGCCTGATCATTTGAAGTGGGAATCCTGGACCTGCTCACAATACTGTCTCTCAGATATTGGGTGAAATTTGCATACCAAGAAAGACAGTGGTCTCTCCCTATAGGGGACACATGTACGCACACAACTGGGCATCAACCTTAAGTAGTTTTGACTTCAATTTGGGCTCGTCCTTGTACATTGTATTCCTTTGAATTTAAATCCGTGTAATTTTCTTGTTTCTGATGAGAAACCAGACTTGGAAAAGAAGGAAAGCAAGTCATATCTCAGCATTAACTTTGGTTTTTCTGTTTTTTTGTTTTGTTTTGTTTTGTTTTTCAGTACTGGGGACTGAACTCAGGGCCTTCACACTGAGCTACATCCCTAGCCCTTTAAAAGAAAGAAATTTTTTTTTCTAAATTTTGTGATAGGGTCCTACTAAGTTGCTAAATCACCTGGGCTGGGTTCAACTTGGAATTCTCCTGTCCAGGCTTCCCAGAGTACTGGAATAACGATCATGTACAACCACCCTGGCTGAGTGTCTTAGTTACTTTTCTTTCAATGCTGAGACAAAATACCTGATGCCCCAAGTTAAAGGGGAAAGGTTTATTTGGCTTATAGTTTGTAGAGGTTTCAGTTCATAATGGGCTGGCTCCATGGCAGAGGGGTGTCACAGAGGAGAAAGGGTTCATGGCACCCACAAAGTAGCAAAAGCAACAAGGGACCTTGACAGCATCTTTCTGTCCTTTTTATCTTATTCAGACTACTTAGAACAGGTAGGATTCACACCCTTCATCCTAGTGCCCTTGGGCCAAGCCCCATCATGAGTCAATCACACTGGATTAAGCCACTTCTGAGAAAGCATGAGCCTTTGGGAGGACATTTAAACACAAGCCATAACACTGGGGTTAAGAATTTTCATGTGATGGCAATGTCTGGAATGCTAAACAGTTATATAATTAATTCCTCACTGACAAATAGAGCTTTGAGGTAGTTGTAAAGAGTCCTAAAAATATGAACAACTTTCATTATCCTATCTTAGCAATTAACCTTTTATTATACTTCAAATCAAATTGCTATTTCCTAGAGCACCCAATTCTATTACCATTCACTACTATTGATTCTGTGATATAAAAAAGGATGAATATTAACGAGATGAGATCATGACCTTTTGTTGCAGACAAAGAAGTGAGAACTGTTATCATGAAAATAGAAATTGATGCCAATAATGATATTTTATTCAAGGCTACATGTTGTATCTTAGAGAAAAGATCATAGATTTGAATGTGTTTAAAAAAGCAAAAGCCATGGGCTGGAGGTATAGTTTATTGGTAGCTCAACTAGAATGCATGAGCTCTGGGGTTCTGCTTTTGGAAATTTAACATTAATTTCCTGTTACAATCAATGTTACTTATCTTTGTATTCAGAACTTGGCTCAATAACTGCCTGCTGGATTGAACTGGCAGTTGTTTTGTAGTGAAGCAAGTGTATTCAGGCAGAATTCTCCTCATCTATATATTAGTTCAATTGTTCCTTACATAGAATTGTTCACCAGCAGAATGTAAACTAAATTCTATGCTAAGTTCATCCATTTCTGGGTGTAGGGAAAAGACAATTATAATAGGAGTTAGGAGACTTAGACAAGTTTTAGCTTTTACATTTGGCTAGTGAGTGACCATGGACAAAACAAACATTTTCTTGATATTTTGGTGTTATTTTCCCTCTTGTAATTCTGGAGGTTAGAAATGCATCTTAACATGTATGGGAAAAAAAGAGTTGAGATTAATTTTTTATGTACAGATACCAGGTGTTCTAGTGTCGTTTGCTGAAAACACTTCCTCGGCTCTTGAATTCAGTTTATATTCTATAAAATGCTAATGTTAAATAATCTTTCAAAACTCAGTGGACCATATATGTGTGGTTCTATTTCTAGATTCTCTGTTTTATTCAAATGATCTATATGTTGTCCCTTACACCAACACTGCCTTGATTACTGTAGCTTTAGAAGAAGTCTTAAAATTAGGTGCTAAACATCTTCCAACACTGTTTTTGTTTTTGTTTTTAACTTTTCTAGGTCCTTTGTATTCCTACATAACTTTTAAATTTCAATATCCAATTCTTCATTTATAGCAAGTATACACAGACCTGAATTTTTATATATACCTTGTGTTTTCTAATCCTGCTAAATTCAAGTACAAGTTCTAGGGGCTCCTAGAGATTTCTTAGTATTTTCTCTGTAGATGATCATTCATCTACATATAAAGATTTTGCTTCTGCCGTGCCAATCCTATCCTAGTTGTGTCACTTTATTGCCAGACTATTTTGGTTTGGGCCTGTGTTTCAAAGTCTAATGGACAGATGAAGAGTAAGCATATCTGCCCTTGTTCCCCTCCTTAAGGAGAAAGTATTGCATCTTCTCCATTTATATAAGGCATTCTCGCTGGAAGTATGGAGTACATGTCTTTAATCTGTTGAGAAGGTTCTGTTCTACTTCTAGTCTCCTGATAGCTTTTACCATGAACAGCTGTAGAATTTAGTCCAATACTTTTTCTCCAACTAGTGACAGGATCATATGGCTATTTCCTTTCCTCTGTTTAAATGATGACTTTTGGGGGTGGATCTTCCAATGCTGAACCAACACTGCCATCCCTATAACAAAACCACTTTCTACATCCTGCCAGATCTGCCTTCTAATAGTTTGTTTTGTTAAACGAATTTCTATCTATGTTCATACTTTTTTCTTCTATTATCTTTATCCAGGTTTAGGATTAGCACAATGTTGATTTCCTAAAATGAGGGGAGAAGTGTTCCTTCTTTTTTCTGCTTTAATTGTTTGATATAATTTATCAGTTCAAGTGTTTATGAGCCTGCTGTTGTCATATAGGTAGGTTTTCAAGCTAGAATATACTTTCTTTAATAGGTGCTATTCAAATTTTATATTTCCTCCAGAGTTAGTTGCATTAATTTGTCTTCCAAGGTACTTCTTAGAAGCTGTCAAATTTATTTCAAAAAAGATTTTTGCAATATGCTTTCTATATCCTTTTAAATTCTGTAAAATCTGTGATAATGTCTCCTAGATCTTAATATTGTAATTTAAAAAATGTATAACTGATATTGTGTAACAGGAAGAAAAGGTCTAAAAGAGCAGGGGAATTGGGAGGGGTAGGGGAAGGGAAAAAAGGGAAAGGAAAAAATATGAGAAGAGGAAAAAAAAATGGAAACAAGGTCTTTGCAAACAGGGAAAGGTGGAGGGGGTGAAGGGAGGGCAAGGGAAGGGGGAAAAAAAATAAGAACCAAGATACTCATGTAAAGGTACAAGATCCCAATGATGAATGTAACTGTATTTTATACCGAAAATGTACCAATAAACTTAATGGGGAAAAAAAAAAGAAAGAAATGCATCTTAAGACACAAAATACTTCCATCCTAGGAAGAAAAGTGGACCACTATACCTCTTATCCCTCCTTTCTAATTAGAGGTCCCATGGTGTCCTGGGATCCAAAGGGGATAACCAGCTTTGACAATAAAGAGGGAAGGCTGAAATGGAAGTAGAGACTTCTGTGGCCATAACTTATGTATGTAGAGTATTTAGTTCTCCTGATTCATCAGATAACAGTGTTATAGCTGTACTATATATGTATTAGAAGGATTAAAAAATTAAGACATAACAAGAAAGCTATAAAAAATGCCTTGAGTAAACAAAGTTCAGAACTAATAACTTTAAAATTTGATGATTAGTTATATAATTTACATATTATTATATGAATGATTATTTTAATTTACCTTTAGAGAGATAAAAAATACTTAGGAAACCCAACAAAATGACTCAACCAGGTTACATCCAAATGTGTCCATACTTTTTGTTTGCTTTTTGTTCATTTTCCTAAGGAACTTCATTTAGCCAAAATAAATTTCATACAAGATCACTTGGAGTTTTGCTGAAGAAAAGTATCAAAAGTAAATTAAAGATTGGCTATGTATAAGGAAGAGTCCATTTTTCCTGGACATAGGTGAAGAAAATCCTATGGGATTTAGTAAGATGTTTATTGTATGCTGGCATAACACTGAAGATTTAATAAGAATTGTTGGTTCTGTGATTTGGATATACAAAGGGGGAAGGAGGTACGCTGTAAGCTTAGTAACAGGTTTGATGGAAATTACCATTTTTAAATCCTCATAACAGCCCTTTACTGTAGAAAATATTATTCTCAATTAGCAGATGAAGAAATTGAAGTTCTGAGAGGCTTTATATCTTCCCTAGAGACTCAGTGTTGGTAGCAAAATTGAAATTCAAACCACAGGCTTGTTTTTTTACATTTTTTCCTACTCCACAATACTGCCTCTCACTGGACCTTTATGATATTACTATTAGTACTACTTACCAGGCACCTATTTGTTATGTACCTGGTACTGTTCTGAGCTATTCAAGTGCATGACTCTATTTAATTTTTACAACAGAACTACGAAGAAGAGGTTATTTCTGCTGTACAGATAAAGAAACTGACAGTTGGAGGATTTAAGTGCCTTCACCCCCAGATGCAGGGCAGCAAGTGGGAACCAACTTAACTTTGAGCAGAACCCTGGCTCCTGCCTTGCACGATGCGGTTTCTAGTGTGACTTAGAGCAACTGCTGTGCGGTGAGCTGCTCTGCTCTAGGCAACTAGTCAGCTTGGGAAGGAGCCCCTGCAGTGCCTTTGCCTGTGCACAGCACATACAACTACTCTGGGCAGGTGATACCTGTTTTCCAAGTTTCTTGTTTCAGAAGTCAATAACATTTTCCTCATGCTTTGTTTTTACAGGTATTTACCTTCATTGCTGGGCCACTGTCTAAAACTGTTAATGCTCGAGTGACTGATATCAACTCCAAAGGGTTGGAATTGAGGAATAAAGTTATTAAAAGAGAAGCCCAGTGCTCAGAAGGCTTGTATCGAGCGGGCCAATTCTGCTGTCAGCCATGTCCTCCTGGTAGGTTACTCAAAACATTCAGAATAAAAATCAGGTTGAGGAGTAGCATATACCAATAATAAATACAATGTTTTTATTGTTTTTGGTTCTCCTATAGTAAATAGTATTACTGGAAGAAAAACAACTATGCAATTATTTTCCAAAGACCAGTTTTATTAATCTTTATCACACTTGTTTGATGTGATTATGAATAAGTATAATTTACAAATGACATGTACCTCTAAAATGGGAAAGTTTGTCTATTTAGCTCCATTTCTCATGAGCCAAAAAGAGACTCATTTGTGGGTGTTACAGCTTGTCATCTCAAAACTGACTTGGATATGTCAAAATAATAGTAGTGGTCTGGAAGCCAGGGACTTCTACTATTAAAGAATACATCTAAACACCTTCCTTCAATCAGGTCTTGAAGAAAGCTGTCCTTCCACTGAAGCCTGCAAAGTATATTTGCATTTTGCAGCTGAATATCTAGATGAACTAAGAAAGCAATGAACAAAAACCCAACATTTAAAAAAATCAGTACATTTAGATGCGAACTAATTTCAAATTGGAAATCCTTCAAACACTAGCAAATTAGGAACTAAGAAAAATACAATTGTGCAAACTTTTTTTTCCAAAGGAATTTATCAGTGTTGCATGGGATATAGATCTCTTTCAACTTTTTGTGAAGACAGGAAGATAAAGGAAATAACACAAAGGTTTATATGATAGTTATGCAATAGATTAATAGACACAAAAAGGACTTCAGTAAGTTTCAGATTTGCCTCCCAGGCTTCCAGCCCTCAAAGTGCAACCAAGTCATGTGTACAAAAAATATTCTAATAGTCCCCCTTGGCCTCCTGTCCAGATTTTAATAAACTTCATAGAAAAATCTGTAACATAAACCCTTTTCCATTTACAGTTTTCCAGGCAGCAATAGAGAAAGGGTTCTTGACTTTTTAAAAATAACTTGCCAAATAGTGTTTGCCCTATGAATTGAAATCTTTGTTCATGTATTTAAAATCTAAAACATAATTTATTTGATTTTTAAAAAGAATTTCTTTGTCTTATTTTCATTTAAGAATTGATAATAGCACTGGTGAATTTACTAATGAAATAAGAACTCTCATATACCACTATAAGGATGAAAACAGTTATATATTTTTAAGAAAGAAATTTGGATGTGAGTCAAAGCCTTGAAAATATTTATGCCTACTGAAACAGTAGTTGATTTATAGGAAAATGCCTAGAGAAAATTATAAAAAGTATTGTATGCATGGTATTTCATTGTGATAACTAGTAGTGTGGGATTGCTTAGGTGAATTCTGGAGTAATTAAAGGCTGGACTAGTATGTATCAATCAAAGTCACAGTGTATCAAAGTTGCTTATATGTTTCTAATATAATCTTCAATCATTATTCTTATTTTTTTAAGACAGAGTCTTAGTATCTAGTTCAGGCTGACACTGCACTCAGTATGTAGCCTAGGCTGGCTTTGAACTCATGACAATCCTCCTGCCCAAGTGCTGTGTGCACCACCATACCTGCCTACAATCTTCAATTATATAAATCCCCTTTAGTGATTTCCACCTGGTTTGCTGGGTGGAGTAGCTACTTTTCTATGTTTCCCTAATATGCCCTGTATGGCATCCAGTGAAAGATACCTCCTACTTTTACTCTCGCTTGTTAAATTTTAGGCTTACCAATATTCAAGTTAATTTAATCTGTTTATACTGTTGTTGTTGTGATATTAATATACGATTTAATTAACTATTGTATAAATCAACAGAATATAAGTGAGAAAAGATAAGTTGTACTTCTACAAAACGAAGCTGAATATTTTAAGGAATTTGAGCCATTCAGACTTGATGTCTTTAAGCCTTTTTTAATCAAAAAGAAAGGAAAGAAGAATGGGTGGAAGAAGAGCAAGTAAAAAGGAAGAAAGGAGACACATAAATACAAAATCATAGGTGATATGTTATGGATGTAAGTTTTATAACAAAGAATCTGAAATTCTAATAACTTGGTTCCATGCCACTGACAAATGATCATATAGTGATTGTTTATTAAAATAAAATACACTACTTTCAATAATTCCATATGTGAACTGAATTTTGATTACTCAGAAGTCTTTACCACATCACTATATTCAATAAGGATTCTACAGTATATTGATACACTATATATGTGTATATATCTCTGCATATACATATACTCATATGAGTACATATATCTCTGTGTATGTATGCTTAGCATTGTAACAAAATAATAGGAAATAAATATCTCAAGTTATTTAATGTATATTTTAATATTTTCTTCTCTTTTCCAAATTTTCTACAGTAAGTAGATATGTTGCTATAATAAAAAAATCTTAAAATTTTATTTTCGTGAAAACATCACTCTTTTTCATATTTTAATAAATGTAGTTTGTATACTTCAGAGAAAAAAAGAACCTGTACCTGATTGTATCTCTGTCATGCTGTGTGTGTTGTGTTAAGCATATTCTGCAAGGTATTTCATTAAAGAGGTCAGTTCATTTGAAAACCAGTATAAGACCACTAGCAAGAAATACAGTTGTTCTTTTGCTCTGTTTTCGTTAAAATACTGCTACAATGTTATATAGCCTTGGTACCCTATGACTGAATTTGCTTCTGGTTTCCATGGGTTGTTTATATTTTTCTTTTGACAGATTGTCTTTGTTTACTAAAATATCATATATATACATATATATATTTCATAATTTCCTTATGTAGTAAATGTTATCAAAAAGAATATTAGGTTATTAAGAAAGTCATATACCTACCAAACACAATAGGCATTTAATAAGTGCTTGTTAAATACATGAATTTTCCAGAAGAAACTCTATAATGCTTAATGATAGCAATACAGTGAATTACTTTATTTTTAAAAGTAAATTAAATCAAACCTGAATATTATTTAAAACCGAACGATTAAGATAGTAGATCTGGTAATAAATTTTGTTATAAATATGTTTATGCATGCCCATCAAAACACACTTTGTTCCCAGATGGAAAAAGAATAGAAAGAAAAGAGACAGAAGAGGGAATTGCGAGCATTTAGCAGGCGAGGTGTGCACAGTTCTAATGGCAATGCAAGGGGCAAGTACTTGAAGTCATCTCCATCGTGTGCATGACAAAATTTTGGCTGAGAGAGACTTTGTGCTTTGTTAAAACTTTTATAGCTAGTAAAGATATGACCAAGGTCATTAGGACATCAAATGTTTTCTTTTCTCCAGCTACCCACTTGTTAGGATTTGTAGACTTTAGAAAGTAAAATCAGAAATCGTATTGTTAGTCATCCTATTTCTTCAGGAATATTCCTGCATTCTTTTAGTTTTTGTCTTGGAAGGCTTCCTGGCTCTTGACATGATTTTTACAATAACATTCTTCCCAATCGTATTTATATATCATTAGCCTAACATCCATCTCACTCCACTCCCAATTTTAAGAGGTTTTTTTTTAACCATTCTTGGTTATGTCTTATGCTGTTATATGCCAGCTTGCCTTCAAGTACTTGCCCCCTTTTTTTTTTTGGACAGGCAAAAGAAAAGCTGCTGACTGCAAATTTGATGAAGGTGAACCAGAGTGTGTGTTCTGCAAAGAAGGGGAAGAGTACACAGACAAGGAACATTATTCCCCTAAGTGCAGACGATGTTCATTTTGTGATGGAGGACATGGTGAGTATCTTCAAAAGCAATGGAAAGAAACTAATCATAGTACTTCATGTAGAACGATTTATTTGCAATGCCATTTGAGATTGGAACCTACTCTAGTGCTCTGTTCACATACAGGAAGGGGCTGGACACAGCTGATTGAGATAATGCAGGACCAGGTACTTAGCTAGTCACTTTTTAGGGTTAATTATCACCAAGTCTCCAGAGAAAGCAAATGACTACCAGTAAGTATCAGCCCTATAAAGAGAGGGTATCAGCTCCAACTCAAACCACAGGAAACTATTTTTTTCCTGCCTTGATTTATCCTTGTAAGATGGCAGAGAGAGAAACGCAAGATGAGTATAGAATATTCTTTCTTCTCTGTGGGGTCTGATATGTCCCAATAATTCTACTTGGGGACCTGGATTTTCAATGTATATCTCAATTTATTCTGAGGCTCTAGGTTAAAATTTAATGGAAGTATTTCTACTTTTGCTTAACATTGGAAATCAACGGGCATAAAGCTTTTCTTGTCCTTATTCACGCTCTGAAGTGAACTTCTTCCATTTAGGCTGAGCATTAAAATTGCCTACAGAGCCATTAGAATACCAATGTTTAGGTGTCAGCTCAGAGCAATTCAGTCATAATCTCTCAGTGAGGATTTTGGCTTTGGTCGACCAAGTTTATGGTGGGACTTGGGATGATTGTGACACTACAAGCTCTGGGTAAAGCTGATGCTTTTGGCTTGTGAACTATGTTTTTGAGTCGTGAGGCTCTAGACTAAGAGGAACAGGTCAGCCATCTGTGCAATGGTGGGGGTTACCTTGATTGCTGGATTGTATGTCACTTAAAACTCTGCAAAATGACTGTTGGCCATTTCAACCTGTTTTACTGTTAAAACACTACTTGTGTAACTAAAACATGGTGATACGACTATTGATAAAAGTAGTGGATCTCAGAAATCCATGCAGTTCTTGGGCATTATTTTCATTGTTCATTTATAACTAGCTGTTATAATTAATGGTTTACAAACTGGTTTTCTAGGCTTAGAAGTGGAAAGAAACTGTACCCGAATCCAGGATACCAAGTGCAGATGTAAATCAAACTTTTATTGTAACACTTCTGTATGTGAACACTGTAACCCCTGCATTACGTAAGTTTGAGTCGTTTGCTGATTAAAACACTCCATGTACCTTGAAAGATACTGTCTTTCTATAGAGAAGCCAAGAGTTAGGAACTAGCACACTGACCAAGAGTTAGGAATTAGGATTTCAGTCTTGTTTTTCCTCAAGAAACTGGATGACCGTTTGCTAATTCCAACATTATCAGGGTTGTTGAACACTTTTTAGTCATTGAATCAAAATTGAACACTTCCTATGTGCTTGACACTCATCTGGCCACTAAGTTAATATTCTGAGCAAACATCATTTCTGTCATGAAGGTCTAGAGACAAAGACAGCCAGAAAAGTAATGGTGATTACATGTCAACACCATGGGGCAAACATAGGAAGAAACTACGTCCAAAGTATTACAGGGTTATACACGAAATTTTTCAGCTCTGCCAGAGGATATGGAAGAGAAGTTTGACACATAGCTTGAGTCTTGAGGAATGAAAGAAATAACATTACCACCCAAATACACTTGGGTGGAAGAACACTTCAAGCAAGGTAACAGTGGTTCCAAATATGTAAATAGGAAGTTCTGTAGGACAGGGTACCAACTAGAGAAAGAAAAGACTGAGAAGGATTCAGGGCTAAATCACCAAGGTCCTTGTCTTTCATACTAAACAGTTTGGTTTTGACCCAAAGCTAAATAACCTGACTGTGCCTCTCATTTTTCTCCTCACTCATTGTGTTACTTTGAGAAGATCACTTAGCGTCTCTGAACTTCAGTTTCTTTATTCACAGATGAAGATAATATTTATTTTGTTCTATCTAGTACAATCTTTAGAGATCAGACTGGGTAATATGTATTATAAAAGTAATTTTTGCTTTGTAAGATACTGTTTTGAGTAAATATAAATGTTTAGGATTACTATTCATTTGACTCCTCAGAAACTTATAATCCACCTTGGAAGAATTTGGGAAATTCATCTAATAGGCTTAAAAGTAGGGACCTGCTGCTTATGTCTTATTTGCTATCCTATTCTCTCCTTTCTACCCCCAAGTGTCTGAGCCCCTTGTGGTGATAGAATAGGTAGGGATTGGGATAAGGGGATAACTAGTCAGATAAAAACAAGAATAGTATTTCTAATTACTTTTAAATCTTTATATCATTTTCTTGTCATCATAACTCTTTGAGGTAGATAATATTTTCTCTATATTACTGATGAGGCTCATGAAGGTTAACCTGTTGTCCAAGCTCAACTAGTTATAACAGCAAAGATAGACTGTGAACTCAGAGAATCTGACTGTCAGTATTTGGCTGTCTCAAGAATATCCCCCATGAGCCTCTGGAGTCTCCCAGTCACTGCTTGATGCCAAAGCAGCACTTGTAGGGTGAACTGATTACCTTTCCTAGGCATCATCCTGGGCAGTAGCTGCTGTCTGGCCATTTTAATGTTTTAAAATTTTTGAAATTGTTCTTACCATTATATTATAAAAGATAATTTATTTTAAACGCTAATGTTTTAAGAGGTTGGTTTATTACTAGTTTTTAAGTTCATTTTTGTGTCTATTTCATTCTCTTTTGTATGGTAGAATTTTATTATCTTCCTTTAACTCTTGATATTTTAAGTAACTCTATGAAATTTCTTCATCACAGCACTGAAATTGTGACTTTTACCAACTTTAGGTGCTTATTTATACATACCTAAGAGAAAATATTTACAGAGATGCAAAGATGAGTAAGATGGTCCCTAATTTGTAATGTGAGATGATGAATCAATCTATCCAGGCTTTCTGAATTTTCTGTTTATTTTTTTTCAGGTGTGAACATGGAATCATTGAGAAATGCACACCAACCAGCAATACCAAATGCAAAAAAGAAAGTAATATTCCCATTCTTCCATCCCCACTCTCAGATATGAACAAAAGCCAATTGTTTTTTATTATTTGAAAGTATGGAATTTTGTTTAACATTGAAGATTGCCCATTTTTATATAAATGTCTAATATTCTAAGTTACAGGTTCCAGACATAAGTTGTGGTGGTTTTGTATCCTCATACTCCCGATTGGGCCAGCTCTGGGTGAGTTCTTTGCTCTAACTATATATTTAAATGACTTGAGAAGTAATTGTTCGTAAAAAATTTTCTCCATCTCCTACCCATAAGAGAGCTACCAGGCAGATAGCTCTGTTGTATTGCTGATCACTGCCACTGAATGCACTACTGAGAGCTGATAAGAATTTCTGTGAGCACCAGTTTTAGGGAACTGGGTGGTGTTCCCAACCTGCTTATGATCAAGGCTTCTCTGCAGTGGTTGAGTTGTTCAAAAACCAGAAGCAATATTTCACTATACATTAAGATTTCTCCACACATTTTGAGAGCACAAAAATCAAAGGTCTTGGCTGGAATAGTATTATAGAGAGCAGTTGATCAATTTGTCCCTCCGTCTCCTCTCTCTGTACCAAATTCTGTATTTAGAAAATTATTTTCCTTAATTTAAAATACTATGGCAACATGTTTTATGCTAGAATTACTTAGTAAATTCAGTGGATAAGCCAAAGTTGGGTATAATCATAGTTAATCTGAAAAAAATCCCTTTAAAAAGTCATCCATAATGTAGAGGGTTGCACCAAGCTTCAGTGACTGAGAAGCATCAATCTTTCCTTCTCCGTTGGAACAAGTCATTGTTTCTTTATTTTATATGAAGAAGTCTTAACTTTAAGCATTGTTTAGCTAAAAGTACATACTCAATATTATGTTTATACTTTCAATATTATGATTGTACTTAGAGACTTAGATTCTTTCTTCCATCTCATACTGTCTTCAAGACGTATACTCTCTGAGTGAGTACATTGTAGTTATCTGTGAGTGTATGTGTCATAATTTCTAGCCATTAAATGCCCCTCCATGGCAAGTTGCCTTCAATTTTCTAGGTCCATTGGCTTTCACGCCTGGCCTCAGCTGTCTCACCCCACCATGCTGGAGTGGGTGTGATGGTGGCCATTTAATAAGTCAAAAAGCCAGCTTCATGCTAGGTCAGGTTAGGGTGATTGGATGAATTAATTAAGGTGTGGCCTGTCTCCTGAACATTTAACTCAGTGGGATGAGATGAGCACAGTGCCATTTCCTGTTGTGTTTGGCCATTTTAAATTTCAATGAATTTCTCCTTCTTCCTTCTAATACTTCTCCTAGTGTGAAAGTATGTTCTCACATACTGAGATTGATTCTGATGGATGTTTCTTTGATCTTTCAGGGCTGTATATGAAGTACTTCAGGAGAAACCATTTTCACCCTGAAAATATGTTCCTACATCCTGTAGGTGTTGAAAAATGCATCAGCCTTTTTGAAAAAATAAAGTAGTAATTCAGTTTTTTGTTACTTTCTTTTAAGAAAAGATGTGCTGTGTTTTTGTGTGCATCACAAATGAATTAACATATGGTTCCTAATTTATAAGTAAACTTTTGCATAAATACTGTAAGAAGCAACAAAGGGGGAAGTGGATGTGTGCTGAATGTGAGTTGAAAAACAGGAAGTGGTGGGTCTAGCCCCATGTTGTACCTTGGTGTTATCCTCACAGAGAAACAACCTTTACCAAAGCATGGATTCAGTATCCAAGCCTGGGCAAAAAAGTTGCTTTTAAAACCTGTCACAAAAAAGCATAGTTAGACTGTTCCCAGCTAACTGTTGGACCAATCTCTTACTATACCTTTTTCCAGCATATTATCAAGGTATTTCAAATAGCAAAACGTTATGTTGGGAAGAAAAATGACTTGTAATTAATTGAATAACAATCTTCTCACTTGAGGCTAGGGCTCAAGAGGCTAGAGTTCTTTAAATCAATAGGATAGCAAAAAAAAAAATTCAATTTGGAATTCATTTCTCAAAAATGTAAATAGTTACAGTGAAGAGAATTTTAGACTGGTTATGTTTAGTGTATAATAAATCTATGTAAAAAATCATCTCAGCTCATTTCATGAATTCCTTAGGTTCTTTGCCTTTGTAAAAATGAGCCAATATTGCTTAAAAACTTTCAGAATCAAAATTTGAATGATAAAAGAACCCTTCTTAATCATTTAGTCTAGTTTCTTATTTTTACAATCAAGCAGCTTATTGTACATCCTTCAGAATTAAGGAAGAATAAAAGGTGACATTTATAACCTTCTAAATATATTTTTATTTATCTCTCTCCCTTTTTTCTGCTTCCCAGCCCCAGGAAACAGAAACAGTGCCACTGAATGTCTCAGGTAAGGCTTTTAGCATTTTATTTTATGGAGATAGCTTCCTTTGTAGGAATAGGCCAATTTTAGAGTAAAATAGTTTTACTAATTCAGTGATGCATTGTGGGCCTTGGTATTCCTTGGACTTACAGGTATTCCTTCTCACCATCAAGGGTTAATTGAATGGTTGGTTTAAATCTATAACAATACTCATAGTTGAAAATAAATAACAATGGGACACTATATTCTGTTTTCCTTCAAAACCAGATAGATGTATTACAGAATTCCTGGCTAAAATGATGTAGAGATTAAACTGAATTGCAGACAGTTATTATGGTTGTCCCTACTCTATAACAACATCCATGCTTCTTCTTGGTTCTGGTCTTTGACCTATGGTTCAGAGATGAGACGATCATGAACTCTTGGCCTTTACTTTCAGATTTGTGGGTCTTTGATCATAAAGTCCATAAGAAAGCATTAGAGGTGATCTTTAAACTTGAGATCTTATAGTTGAGATAGGAAGGAACAGTTCTATGTCATGCCCAGGTCAGATAGCAAACTACTAGGGGCATAGAAGGAGTTGGAATTATAGCTCATGACTGTTTTTGTTTTTCCTCAATAAGTTGTTTAGATGTCTATGACTTATTTGTATTTTTAAGTATGATAGGGGAGAAATAAACATAGATTTCAGTAATGGAAATTTCATGTAGAAAAATAAATTTTCAGAGGCTATTTTCTATTTTACAGATGCTGACTTTAGTAAATATATACCTAGGATTGCTGAACTAATGACAATAAATGAAATTAGAGAATTTGTTCGAAAGAATGGTGTCTCTGAAGCCAAAATAGATGACATCAAGAATGACAGTCCCCAAGATACAGCCGAGCAGAAAGTTCAACTGCTTCATAGTTGGTATCAAGTTAATGGGAAGAAAAATGCATGCTCCACTTTTATTAAAAGCCTTGAAAAAGCCAAACTTTGTGCTCATTCAAAGCAATTTCAGAATATCGTCCAGGCAGAC